GTGGTAAAAGTGAATATATGTGGCCCAAGTGGTAGTGTAACGACTTACGCGTTGTTAGATGATGGTGCATCCGTTTCGATGATCGATAAAAATCTAGTTAAGGAATTAGGTCTATCACCTACTCAACACTACCCTGTGAAATTTATTGATGCTTTTGATATTGAATTATATCAGTCTGATCCTCATATATGTACAAACATTTCTGGCTTTTTCGAAAATGTATTTTACGATGTGACATTTCAACAGGTAGATAAATTAAAATTACCTAAGTTAAATACACAGAAATACTTAAAAACATGTCCGTAGTCGATAATTTAAACTGTAAATACTTGTTACGTGTAAAAGATTTTGTATGTAAACAATGTGTGGTGCCTCGCTTACTGATAGGGCAAGATAATTATTTTCTATTAGCGCCTTTAGAAGTGCTGCATGGCAACAAACAAAAGCCATACGCTACAAGATGCCGACTAGGATGGTCCATTCATGGTTGCTACGGTCTTACTCACTCCTCTGTGAACGGGCACATATTGCATCTTGCACATTCCGAGCAGCAGGAACAGGTAACCAATATAGATCAATTAAATGACATAGTTAAAAAATCATTTGAATTGGATTCCATCGGAGTTTAGACTTTACGACGCGAAAATACGGCAGGCACATCTGAGAGCGCTACGTATACTTGACGAGACAGCGCGTCACATCGGTAATCAATGGGAGGTTGGCTTACCTTTCATTAAGGACGAGTTTTCCATGGCGGACACATATGCCTACACGCAATACAGACTACAAGGTATGTTAAATTTTTTTTTAAAATCAGACAGTGATTACGCGGAAAGACATCGGAACGAGATGAAAAAGCTCTTAGAAACGGCTACGCGCGGGAACTTAAAGAAAATGAATTCTCGACTGCTGGCCACGTTTGGTATCTATCATACTTTGGGGTTCAAAACCCTAATAATTCCGGAAAACTAAGGTTAGTATTTGACTGTGCGGGAAAGGTGAAAGGTGTTTGCCTAAATGATTACTTACTGACGGGTCCCGATTTATATAATTCTTTATTGGGTATTGTTAACATAAAATTGTTTTAATAGGCGATATTAAAGGTTTTTTTGTCTAAATTAAAATTCGTTCTGAAAATCAACACGTATTTCGATTTCTTTTGCAAGAAAGTGCAGAGGCGCCCTTAAAAAAATGTGTTATGCAAAGTTTATTGTTCGGCGCCACTTGTTCACCATTCATCGCACAATATATAAAAAATAAAAATGCTGCAAAATATCAGGATTTATATCCCGAAGCCGTCGATGTAATTATTAATAATCATTATATGGACGATTGTTTACATTCATGCGAATCAGAGGCCATGGGATGAGCAACCTCCAGCAGGGGGAGGGAGGCGGTGAATGCTCATAGCATACCACGCAGCCGGCTGCGTGGTTATGTGGAGACTTTTACCCACTAAACACCGCCTTTATGGATTGGCTTACCGATCTGACGAGAGATCTCTAAGCCGTATACGGACGCGACCCTCCTACTAAGGAGGGTGCGAAAATGGGGGCCGCGTAGGTCATGACAGGTCGTATGCAGACCTTATATAGGGTTCGCTTGTTGCGGAGGGACATTTTGCTTTGTCTGCCCAACATGCTGTTGAGCCTACGCCTGAGGGTCCAGAGAGTCTACAGCCGAGGCTAGAGACTTCTTGAAGCCCTTCCAGTTGGTGTAGGTTTTGGAAGTGGGAGTTGGAGGTGGCTGATGGCCAAGAAGGAGGAATACACAATTGGTGCAACAAATAACTGCTATACATAAGGCAGGTGGGTTCGAGATAACGCGTTGGACGAGCAATAGCAAACGGGTTTTGCAATCAATCCCCTCTGATGCGCTCGCGCCTACTGCTTTGGCATTCATACATGGAGCTACGAATATAACTGAGCACACTCTCGGTTTGATGTGGTAACTGATTAGATTTAAAATTACTCTTAATAGAATTTCACCAGATGTTTTGAATGGGTTGGAATCCCCTACAAAAGCGCAAATGTTAAGCATTATTATGTCCGTATATGATTTACACGGTTTTCTTTCACCTTTTATAATTAAAGGAAAAATTATTTTTCAGAACGTACATCGTAGCGGAGTTGAGTGGAATTGCCGCATTCAACCCGAAGAGCATGCTTTGTGGATCAGTTGGTTAAACGATTTACGAAGCTTAAGTTCACTTCGTATTCCACGGCACTACTACAGTGCACATGAATGGGTTGAATGCCACTCGGACGCTCAATGGAAAAATGTACGTAACTTGTCGACTGATAACCATATCTATGATCGCCACATTTTTGATAAACAAATGCATATTTTTTGTGACGCTTCTTCAAAAGCGTATGCAACTGTTATTTATTGGCGGTTTACACGTTCGGATGGTCGTGTACTAGTTTGTTTTGTAGCTAGTAAAAGCAGAGTAAGTCCGTTACGCCCGGTGTCTATTCCAAGGCTCGAACTCCAAGCTGCATTGTTAGCAGCGTGACTCGCTGCTACCGTACAGAACGAGCACAAAGATACACAGACCGGGACGCGGTACTTTTGGACGGACTCAAGTAAGGTGCTACATTGGATCCGAAGTGATCCACGCAATTATAAACCTTATGTGGCTCACCGTTTAGGTGAAATAGACGAATTGACGAAGTCGAGTGAATGGCGTCACGTTCCCACTGGCTTTAACACGGCGGATACAGCTACGCGCGAAGATGCTCCTCCGCTTGCTTACTCTAGCGACTGGTTTGAAGGCCCTTCTTTTTTGCGCCGCACGGAAGACCAGTGACCCAAGGACCTTAAGCGTATTAGAGCGTATTAGAGTCAGTCGGTCAGTGCATGTGGTCGTAGAACACGATACCTCAAATTTACCTTTGCCTAACGAAGATAATATCTCGAATTGGACCACTCTCCAGCCAGGGTCTCGTCAGCGTAAAGCTAGAGACTTGACGTTCTTCTAATAAAGGAGGCAGAGAACCTATTACAAAAAACAAAGTGTCAACTCGACAGTTTTAGCACAGAACTGTTATGCTTAAAACAAAATAAGCATCTGCCGTCGAACAGCCGCTTACTGCAGGTGTCACCTTATGTCGACGACTTAGGCATTTTGCGGGTGAGCGGTCGTATTGACAAGGTAGTGGGTGTTGAGTACAACACTTGCAGGCCTGCTATTTTAGACGGTGGACATAGGATTACTCGCTTGCTAGTGGAACACTACCACAGGCAAGCATTTCATAGTGCAAATGAGCTTGTCGTAAATAATTTACGGCAACATTATTGGATTTTAAAGCTTAGACCTACCGTTCGCACTGTTGTATCCCGTTGTTTATTTTGCCGCTATAGGCGCGCTACGCCCCAGCCACAACGTATGGCTGACCTGCCTGCCGCTAGACTACAACACAATAGGCGGCCTTTCAGCTACTCCGGTGTTGACTTCTTCGGACCCCTCGAAGTAACCGTCGGACGCAGAAGACAAAAAAGGTATGGAATGCTCTTTACTTGCCTCACAGTCCGTGCGATCCATATCGAGGTAACTGAGGACCTTACGGCCGATTCCACAATAATGGCATTAAGACGCATGGAAGCTCGTCGTGGTATGCCACTAGTAATTATTTCCGATAACGGCACGAACCTGAAGGGCGCAGACGCAGAGCTGAAGAAAAGCATATCAGAGCTAGACACAGAGGCAGGTCGCGAGGCTGGAGCTATACGAGGCATGGAATGGAGATTTATTCCACCAGGTGCCCCTGAGATGGGGGGATCTTTGGAGAGGATGATACGTACAGTCAAATCGTCACTAAATGTAATTTTAAAAGAACGCGTCCCTCATCCTGGTACACTGGTAAGATTATTAGCTGAGGTGTAGGTGACAGTTAATAGTCGACCAATTACACATGTCTCCAATGACCCAGAAGCACTCACACCCAATCACTTTCTGATTGGTGAATCATCGACAGGCCCACAATTTGGTAAGTTTGGCGATTTTGATCTTTGCTTAAGAAAGCGCTGGCGCGTGGCACAAAGACTAGCAGACATGTTTTGGTCTCGCTGGCTAAAAGAATATTTGCCAACTCTGCTCCCTCGTCAAAAGTGGACACAAGAATCGAAGTCCTTACAGGTAGGTGATTATGTCATTATTGTCGAACCGAATGCTGATCGCAATTGCTGGCGAAACGGGGTAGTGAGTGCGACCCATGCAGCCAGTGACGGACGCGTTCGTATAGTAGATGTTCGCACACGTACGGGTGTGATGCGGAGACCGGTAACGCGCGTCGCTCTGTTATCACCACGGCATTGTAGTGCTAACTAGTAGCGACGCATTATAAAATATTTATTTATTATGTGACTATTTGTTCTCTAATGCTATTGATATATTATGTATATTGTTTGATTCTTGTGTACCGTCATGTTAGAAATAAATTAAGTAAGAAGCGCTCTCGAACAACCGCTGCACCTACAAGTACATTATCGGAAATCATTCCTTAGACGGGCGGGCAGTTGCGCACATACACTCGTTGCACGCGGCACGGTTCTTCGAACGCCTTTAATTTACTTGTGAAATCGTGGTTTCATTCTATAAACTATAACTACATTCAAATAAAAAAAAACATTAAAGGAAATTTTACGTGCTGACGTGTTCGGTGGTAAAGCGGCGAAGAATAACTTAAATTAATAATAGTAAAATAATTTAATCAGATTTTACGTCATCGTGTCAATTTTAATCAAAGAAGAGTATTCTATTAATATATCTATATATTTACTTTCTTGTTTACCGACACAGTTAATTAATTTTCTCAGAACACAAATCCAACATAGAAATGAACATGAACCGCATAATTGATGAGAATAATCTCCCTGTCTGCTGCCGCAATGCAATCCGAACGAATATTACAAAGCTATCAATTTACTTGGATAATGTTTCTTCCGCTTATTACGATTTTATCAACATTGCGATATTATTTATTGTCATACAAACATACCTGCCTGTATTAAGAACTGATTTGACATACCTATTTAGGTTCTTACCTTGAAATTGCCATTTTCCAATATTGGTTAGTTTAAAATCTTACATTCAACTAAGAATTCTAAATTTAAATTAACGCCTCAAAAAACTAAAGTAAAAAAAAAAACAGCTGCTCATTTGTGTCCGAACAATAATATCTGACAAAACAATTTTTGCAAAGCTTTATTGCCATTGATTATAAACGATGATGTGCAAGCTTGATTATTCATTGATTGTTCATTAATTCTCCCTTATCAGGCTTTTTTATAGAATGCGGGTGACAAACGACACACAACCTACCTGATGGTATGGTGGATATTGTGGCTCATAGACGTTTACGTCTATCTTCGATTAACAATCAAAATGCAGATGCGTTGTCACCTTTGAGGACTAAGATGGAATGCCTCGTTTCTAGTGAAAAGGCTTTTCGGTTCTCACTCACCATAAAAAACTCAACAGCATTAAGCTGTTATTTCACGTTGAATTTCTGTGAGAACGTGAATTTCGCTCGATCGTGCTATAACAATAGTATGGCATGGTAGCATTACGTGAGTAGATAAACGGAACAGAGATAAAGCTTCATACAACCGCGCGAATCGGTTGCATTACTACAAGCACGCGAGGCATGTGTGCGTGACCACTGGCCGTTTGTCGCGTACGCGGTGAGACTGTAAAAAAACCGGTTACCCTGGCACAGCCAGTTGACAAATCTCAGGGTTAGTGCGACGTACGTTGTTTGTTTTGTTAGTTGCAATTTTGAATATTTTAATGTAAAAACGTGATGTTATTAATAATGATTGTTTATTTGTACTGTGTGTATGAATAATACTAGAAAAAATAAAAATATTTCATACTTAAACCATCCCAAGGAGTAAAACAGGTAAGTAAAGATTTCATTATTACATTTTCAAGTAAGTTCCTTTTTTTATTGTATGATTTTTTTAATGAGAAGAGTGTACTACACGGTGTGTTTTTACCTCTTTATTTTTATTACAAGGTTTGACTAAACATTTATATGCATGTGGGTGGGTTGGTATGTAGTAGGTATTTGTGTTAAATTCACATATTGCAAGTAAGATTTGAACCACTTCCCGACGTCTGATTGAGTTGAAATTTTGTATACCGTAACTTCAGTGACGATGCAATAATATGATAAATATTAGCTGATGCTGCAGCCAGGATTGTATCCTTACTAGAGAATAACTCTTCAATGGGTAGTAGCAGGGTCACGAAATTTTTGTGTGTTAGTTTAATTTTGACAGTTTAACACGATTTTTAACATGAACTGCTGCTGAAGCCAGCATTGTCTCCTTACTAGGGAACTATTCAACGCTTAGTAGCATTCACCACAAACTGATGCTGCAAACAGAATAGTCTCCTCACGAGGGAACTACTTAACAGCTATAGTAAACTTTATGTTAGATTCAGAATTTACACCATTAAAAGAAACAATAAATTATTAAAAAACAAAAATTATGAAAAAGAAAATTATTAGAGCAAGTAATTTGTAAAGTATTCTATCACACTGAATAATAAAACTATTTAACAAATGTTTTCGTTAATTTGTCTTCACCTATTGTGACAACCCTACCAAAATAGGTAACAATTTTGCAAGTCCTTAAGAAGCTTTATCTCTGTTCCTTTTACCTACTCAAGTAGTAGCATTCTACTACTTATCAAACCACGTAATACACACTTGCTACATAATACTAATTTTGTTAAATGTAGTAACCCTTCTTCTCACTTTCTTCATTACCAAAAATATGTACGTCGATTTGCAGGCATGTTTGTAAGTAAAAAACAGCCCTCTCACTGGTAAAGCTAATAAATATCGATCTTTTATCATTCACATCATATAGAATGAAGAGTACTCTACATTATTTTATTTTTAATGTTTGATTTATTGTTTCTATTGAAATGAAATCAGACGCTGTTATAAATATTAAAAAGCTTCCTTTGCCGAAGATACGTAATCCTAAATAGAATATACTTTTTAATAGCTCGTGAAGTTGCTCCAGTTCTAATAGGTTTTTTTTTTGGGATAATGGTACTAAATGAGCATACAGTCCACCTGATGGTGAGTGGTTTCTGCAGCCCATAGACATCTACATCAATCCTCAATCACGAAAATGCGTTGTCAACCGTGAGGAGTAAGATGGAATGCCTCTTTTCAAGTAAAAATGGTCTCCGGTTCTCTACACTCACAATACAAAACACAGCAGCGCTAAGCTGCTATTTCGTGCTGGTATTCTGTGAGAGCGTGGTCCTTACCCGTTCGAGCCGACCCCATTCGTACTACCGCTATAATACTAATGTAGCTGCAACATGGCTCTACCATGTTTGAAAGGTATATTGATCCTGAGTTCGGTGGAAGCTGCAACTTGTCAATAGTACGCTATAAATATTTCAGCTGACTAAATACTCGAGTGGAAACTAAAAATAGGTACTAAGCTCTACCCTTAATCAATTCTCCAAGTACCAACTTTCTATATTTGGATCTCATACCTATATTTTATTTCAACTACCGACGCGCGCTGGTTTCGCACCAGGTAGGATCTGTGTGTGTGCTATTTAGATTTAAGATAATCAAAGGCGATTTATTTTATAACATTTTCGTTTTTTTTTCAAACAACTTCTACTAGTTTTTCGGATAAGATATAGTCTAGATCTCCTCGTGCCGGTTCAACCATTCCGACTATTAGCCCAGGTAAACAAATAGACAAACTAAAATTTAAAAATTAATGGTCATTTGTTTTAATGGCGTGCAAGTCACCTCTCAGCTTAATATAAGGTAGTTGTTTCGATATTACAGACAGACATTTTCATTTTTTTAATATGTTATTCATAGCTTATAAAGAAAAAATATTTATATTTTTTATATGAATGAATTTAATTCCATTCCACTATAGAAATTAACAGAATTGTTTTATTTAAGTATACTGGGTGAGAGCCGTAGGAAAAAATAATACAGATATACCGCAACTCATAATTTCAGATATATAAAGGACTTTGGACTTAACAAACAACGGTATCTTAAAGGACACTGGCAATTAAGGCTTCGCGCACGTCCTCAGACAGCACTCCCCCGACAGACTGCACTGTAACGCAACTTGGCAGAAGCCCGCTCTGTCTTTGTTGGACCTCGTAAATTGCTAACGTCTCATAAAATGCAACTTGTGCATTTGATATTAGCTAGAGCTAATGAAAGCAAGGCGACATTGGATGATAAATGCACAATGTTATAAGAAATAACTTTTTGGTGAAAATATATTGATTATTTTGGAGCGTCTGAGTGAAGTTATAAAACTAGAAGGAGTTAGAAATGTCAATGTCAATAGTCAATATGTCGGCAAAAATCAGAATTACAAACACGTCTGTGTCAACCACGGTACTATACTGATAAAAAATATGGATATATGGTAAGGCTGCAATTCTCTTATTCCAGAACATGGACATAATCAAGTGACTGTCGTGTATATAACAACCAAGTCACACTAACAAATATAGTTGATTTTATTGCAAAAAGAAAAATATTTTTCGGCTTTTTTATGGTTTATTTTAGAATCAAAATCATCAAATCTACAAAGGGACAACGTGTTTTTGCATCTGTGAATACTTCAGACAGACACATGGTTATATGTTACAGATGGTACAGAGTGTTATATGTTTATCTATGGGGTTTTGGAGCAATCATGAAGTGTTCTTGTACAATATTAATACTATAAGGCATATTATGCATTCAGTCTTAAATACCTTTTCACATTACGTGAATAGAGGAGTGTGAGAATTGCCATAGTTTAAGGATATATAGAGAAGGAGTGTAGAAAGCTAAAATTTATAAATAAAATGTGTTAAATACAAATACATTAAATTTATTAAATCAAGCAATGTGTTGTTTATGTTCATACTTTGAGTATTCAACCAACTGGAGAGGCCATGCGCGGTTATTCCTAAACAAAAAGTCTGTCAATTTCAGGGGGTGGGGCACAAGAAAAACACACTAAAGGTACTGACGATACGTCCATTTAGTACACTTCCAAATGTGCATCCATTTGAAATAAAAATGTATCCAGATACGGTACCATTGACGATACTTCCATTTGGACGCATAGCGTCACTTCGAACTTGGCAGTCGTACGGAATGGAAATAAATAATAATATGGATAATAATACTTTATCGGCGGCAGCAGCAGCGTTCTTTCATTAAAAAGACAAAAAACCTAAACGTGACAATCCATCGTAATCTTCAAAGATTACAACGCATCTATATTTTGATTCTCAATTGAGGATACATGTAAATGTCTATGGGCCACAGCACCCACCACCAGGTGGACTGTGGGCTAGTTTGTCACTCCAGTTCTAGATATGGTATATATTATGGTGGAGCAATATCATTGACCGAGGTTGAAATTAAAGAAATCAACATATAGAGGATATTTTTCTTTGTAACTATACGTGGTAGAGCAACGTTGCATCTTTATAATGGATGTAGCACAAATGGGTCGGCTCGAACGAAGAAGGACCACTATCTCACAAAATAGCATAAAATAGCAGCATAAATCTGCTGCATTTCGTATGCTAAATGTAAAGAACCGGATAATATTTTTACTGGAAACGAGGCAATGACAATGCATTTACATTTTGATTCTTATTCGATGACAGATTCAGTCTATGGGCTACAGTATCAACTTAAAATCATGTGGACTGTGTACTCGTTTGTTGGCTAACAAACAAGTACACAGTTCATAGTTTACATAATAAAAACATATTTAATCCAATACACAGTTAATGCTTGACAAACAGAACACATGTACTACCATCAACACCAAAACAATAACTGACGCAATAACGTCCAAAAAATGGACGCCGGTTCGCCCATTCACTGACGATTCGGAGTATAGTTGCCGGCACGAAAGGTGAGCACAGATGAACTATGGAGGGGGTTGAGCCAGCGTATGTACACTGTCGGCCAAAATTATTAGGTACTGTTGTTATTTCAATTCAT